TCTAATATTATAACAGCAATAGTGAACTCTACTATCTTTTATAATAGTAAATGCTTTTCTAAGAAAAAGAAAGCTTTTGGAATTGTTTAAAATTAGAAGAAAATATGGTAAATTAGAAAGTAGAAGTTTATGATTTCTGCAGATGGAATGTCATATCTCAGCAATGAAAATGAATGCAAATAGGGCACCCTGCTTAAACATCTTCGCCCATATATGCATTCACATTGTGTGAGCTGTTATAGGAATTGTCTCGTGTTTGTTTAGGGAGAGAATAATGCAGACGTGATCCCTAGATGTCAGATTTTTTATCTTAAAATTAAATACAGAACCTAAATTAGCAGTGTTGAGCCTTGTAGCTCTCCTTAAGATTCTTACCTCCTCTTTGTTCAGTTTGCTAGTAGCCCATTGTCTAAAAGGGCAATTTATAGTGGACCTACTTTAAATGGCACTTGGAACTTTTTTTTTTTTTGAGTTGGAGTCTCACTCTGTTGTCTAGGCTGGAGTGTAGTGGCACTATCACACCTCACTGCCGCCTCTATCTCTTGGGCTCAGGTCCTCTGCCTCAGCCTTCTGAGTAACTGGGACTACTGGACAAGCCATTACACCCAGCTAATTTTTTTGATTTTTTGTAGAAAGGAGATCTCTCAATGTTGCCCAGGCTGATCTTCAACTCCTGGACCAAAGCAGGCTTTTCGCCTTGGTCTGGTCTCCTAAAATACTGGCATTACAGGCATGAGCCACTGCTGGTGTTTACCAATTAAGGTCTTCCGCCTCCGTGCTCCCCCCCCCCGCGCGCCCATGTAGGTAAGTATTCTAGTCATTAGGGTTGAGGAGGTTTTAGAGGTTAAATAATTTCACCATTATCATAATCTGTTATGAAAATGACTCTTGTCCTGTGATCTTTTGTATCATGTTCCTCCTTTTCTTGTTGCTTTATTACAATCCAGGGGAGGGGGAGGCTCTTGTTCAAGATCTGCTCATTATCAGGCATCTCTCAAGCAGATTATGGTACAGGCATATTAATGTATTTTAGGTGTGATACATTAAAGTATGTTTACATCATTTAGGAAGGAATTTTTTTTTTGCTTTGTTTTGCAGATATACAGATCAGCTCTCAAAATGTCTTCTGTGTCTTCCGAGAGTCTTCTAAGACAATTGCATTAGCCTCCTGCTAGTTGACTAATAGAATTAATAATTGTAAAAAGCACTCTAAAGCCACATGCCTTATGAAGTCAATGCTGGGTATGATTTTACAAGTATGTGATCTATTTTTTCAAGTGAAAATGTTAACTGGAAAAGTTCTTGGCACAAAGTAAAACATCGTGCAGTCTGTTATTTGTCTTAGAGATAATAACTTGAGGGTGGCTATAGTCTTATGGTATCTAACTTATGACTTGCTAGGGGAGTTTCTTCCACTTAGAAGTATTGCAAATGTGCTTATATTTACATAATATGTCACTCTGAAAAATTATGATGATATAATTCCAGTAAAAAATTATTTTTTCTATAACTACTTCAAAGTATATTCAACTAAATTTAGCACAATTTTTTTTTTAAACAGCAACTGAAGGGAACATGTTCCTGCCCCCACAACACAAAATAAAACCCAAATGACCTTTCTGATACTTCTTTGAAGTTTTAGGAGTTTAACATTCTTTGCAATGTATGTTATTAAGGGCTCTATTCATAAGGAGTCAGTGAGTCATATGTATTCTAAATGTCTGTTCTTGGGTGGAAGAAGGAACTGAAATTTGGAAAGATGGTAATTTAATTAAATCATATTTTCTCTCAGGCACTAAAGATGCTGGCTGAGTAGTTTTTAAACTATGACCCATTACATTTCTTCAAGATAGCAATAAATCTGTGAGATCTAAAACTTTTCTTTGTTTTGGAAAATAAGTTAATTTTTAAAATATTAATGAATTTAGATGTATTCATTTTTAAACATTTTATCATAGTTCCTTTAATATTTCAAATGTTACCATTTTCCCAATCACCTTGACATTAATATATGGGTATAGACCATTTTGTCTTCATTTTGATGGAAGGATAACCTTCATGAATTGGATTATTTCTTCATGAGGTTATCCTTTCATATTTTTTGTGTAGCTTTACTCATTTTATTTAGATGAGTCATTGTTGGATTCTAGTCACATTAAGAAAAAAATGTTAAAATACAAATTATATAGTTATTCAATAAGGGGAGATTATATTGTAATAGTTACTGAAGACATTATGTGTAATGGAAAAATTAACAATCAGGAAATTCTGGAGGGACAGGTAAGAGAAGCTGCACCAGGCTGTGACATATTTATATGTAAGAATGTTTTGTTCTCTGTAACCTAGAATGGCCTTTGCTGTAGGCCAAGTTAAAACAGTGGATACATATTTTGCTTGAAATTATATTTTAAATAAAAACTAATATATATTTTTTTGAGTCAGTCTTGCTCTGTCACCCAGACTAAAGTGCAACTGCATGATCATGGCTCACTACAGCCATGACCTCCTGGGCTAAAGGGATCCACCCTCCTCAGCCTCCCGAATAACTGGGACTATAGGCACATGCCACCATATTGGGCTAATTTTTTTGATTTTTTTTGTAGAAATAGGGTCTTGCTATGCTGCCCAGGCTGGGCTTGAACTTCTGGGCTCAGGTGATCCTCCAGTCTTGTCCTCTCAAAGTACTGGGTTTACAGGCATGAGCCATCACACTCAGCCTTTTTTTTTTTTTTTCTTTATATTTTTTCCTTTGTTGGCTACTAACAAAGTTACCCTTTGGTCTTCCATGTGTGGTATTCCCAAGCCCACTTTAGTCATTTCTGACAAAGGACTTGAGGGTTCCTATAACATTGACATCAATAAATAAGACATTACCATGCCAAAAAAAAAAAAAAAAAAGAGGTAACCGGTATCTTCTCTTTTCACGATGATTACCTAACCTTGTTAATTTTAAGGCCAATGGAAGGACATCAAGGTGAGGGGCACATCCCCTCCCTCCCACTGGAGACCAGATAGGCTTACCTTGCCTCAACACCATCCCTTTCACTTGTACTTCAGTCTTTCATCCTATAATTTTGTTGTTGTAGTTCCAAGAGGGAGATTCTATGGATGTTTGATGGATAACATTATTGATGCCTAAGAAAAGCAGTGTACTTTCTTAAATACAGTTGTACTATTTTTGACATTATTCACTAAAGTTCATCTTTACCTTGTAAACTATTCTTTATACTCTAATTAGTGCATTACCTTTGTTCAGAAATTGTTTTATAAAAATTATGCTTGACCAGCTTTTCATAAGCAAAGATATATTATATATCCAAAGCCAGTATGGTTCCCTAGCACTTGTGAGAAATAGATGAAAATGACTAAACCACATTGTTAATTTGGATTTTCTCAGCATGCTTTGGATAATCGTGGTGTAACTAACTCTGTTGAATCAGTCTCTAGAGCAGCGTCGGCTAATGAAGAGGCCGTATTTTATTAGAAAGTCACAGGTGGAATTTTCCAAGAGACATTGGGGTGATGACTCACACAGCACTGGAACACAGACCACAGAACACAGTCCTGGACTAGCCTTTGTTAATGCATTTTTTAATTGACACAACACAAATTGTTTCTCATTACCCTCAGAGTTCTGACTCATTAACCCCCAGTAGAGAATTTTGCCAGAGAATTCTTCTTTGGACCTTAGTTGATGCCACTAACTTAATTTGCAAGACACAGTTGAGAACTGGGCATGGTGGACCATCCCTTTAATCCCAGGGATTCGGAAGGCTCAGGCAGGAGGATTGCTTGAGCCCAGGAGTTCAAGGGCAGCCTGGGCAACACAGAATGACTCTGTCTTTACACAGAACAATTAAAAAAAATTAGCTGGGCCTAGTGACACCTGCCTGTAGTCCCAGCAACTCAGGAGGCTGAGGCAGGAGAATGACTTGAGCCCAGGAATTCGAGGTGAGCCATGATTGTGCCACTGCAATCCAACCTGGGCAACAGATCAAAACCCTGACTCTTAAACAAACAAACAAAAAGATCTAGTTGACCTAACATGTAGAGATGAATCATAGGAAACTGCTAATACTTAGCCATGTTAAGCTGTACAATGGCAATGTCATGTGGTTCAACTTAGTAGTTATCTTAGTCAACTTCCAATGTGCTCCTGATGGTGATACTAGACAATTCCTAGCAGGCTGTACATAGAACCCCAGGCTCAGTTAGATACTGCATAATGCTGGATGTGGTCCTGGTAAAACCTGACATGACCACTCTGGTGCATACCAGGTTCTCCTGCAACTTTCAGGAAAGACCCAAATGGGGCTTAATGAAATCTATTCATAGGTCAAAAAAGAAGCATTTGTTCTCCATTTCCTGAAGGTGATGGAGCAGTTTTCACTGTTTATAACATGGCTGTTTTGTCTTTTTGACTGTGAGAATATTTTGGTTGAAACTATGTTTATATCCTGGTTGTGCAGTGTAATAATATTGAATTCCACTTTATGTTGTCTATATACACATATATATATCGCATAAATAAACTTGTAATATATTCTATAAACATAAACATACTAGATATTTTATAAACATAATGTGTACATATTATATATAAAATATAACATTAATATACATATTATATATAATATACAACATGTATATATATAATCGACAGTAACTGAAGAAAGAAATTGGGCAAACACATGAGTAGTGGGAAAGAGTAAGTAATAGGAAAGGTAGACCTTGTAATAAAAGTGATTTATTCAATATTCATAAAACATTTAAAAATAATAAAAGAGCCACTCTTTGTCACTCCAAAAAATTCTAAATGTAAACTGTCTACATTAGTGTCAATTTCGTGGGCTATTTTTAAAATGGGTTATTTGCCTAGAGGAAGTATTTTATTATGCACCTTACAAAAACTTGAAAATAATAAGTAAAATATTTCGATTCACTGACCTGTCTGTAACTATCAAATAACCCTGTATCCACTTTTCCCTGTATTTTTACAGATATGGTCCGGAAAAAGAATCCCCCTCTGAGAAACATTGCTAGTGAAGGCGAGGGCCAGACCCTGGAGCCTATAGGCGCAGAAAGCAAGGTCTCTGGAAAGAACAAAGAATTTTCTGCAGATCAGATGTCCGAAAATACGGATCATAGTGACGCTGTGGAACTAAATAATAAGGAGGAGCATAGTATACATGTTCAGGATCCGTCTTCTAGTGGTAAGAAGGACTCAAAGAGCTCAGTCCTGGGTGAGAAGGCTGGCTTCAATTATGAAAGCCCCAGCAAGGGAGGAAACCTTCCTTCCTTCCCACATGATGAGGTGACAGATAGAAATATGTTGGCTTTCTCGTCTCCAGCTGCCGGGGGAATCTGTGAGCCCTTGAAGTCTCCTCAAAGAGCAGAGGCAGATGACCCTCAAGATATGGCCTGCACCCCCTCCGGGGACTCATTGGAGACCAAGGAAGATGAGAAGGTGTCACCAAAGGCTACTGAGGAAACAGGGCAAGTGCAGAGTGGTCAAGCCAATTGTCAAGGTTTGAGCCCAGTTTCAGTGGCCTCAAAAAACCCACAAGTGCCTTCAGATGGGGGTGTAAGACTGAATAAATCCAAAACGGACATACTGGTGAATGACAACCCAGACGTGGCACCTCTGTCTCCAGAGCTTCAGGACTTTAAATGCAATATCTGTGGCTATGGTTACTATGGCAATGACCCCACAGATCTGATTAAGCACTTCCGAAAGTATCACTTGGGACTGCACAACCGCACCAGGCAGGATGCTGAGCTGGATAGCAAGATCTTGGCCCTTCATAACATGGTGCAGTTCAGCCATTCCAAAGACTTCCAGAAGGTCAACCGCTCTGTGCTTTCTGGTGTGCTGCAGGACATCAACTCTTCAAGGCCTGTTTTACTAAATGGGACCTATGATGTGCAGGTTTGTGCTTTGTTTTGTGATCTTTTTGTACAGAAAACATTGCTGGTAATGAACTATAGATTCTCATGTGCATGTTAACACCAAGGTCTCAATACCAGACAGGTAGCCAGCTTGACCCAGCAGAAGAGAGGGACACAGGTCATAGCTACTTCATGCAGCGTGTTTTCAGAGTTGTCTGTAGCGTCTTATTGTGGGAAACAATCCCGACATTTCTATAAGTTTGGGAAAAGTATTTTTATGGAATTAGGTGAGCTTCATATATCTGGACACATATCATGGTAATTTGATGTTTTCAGTCTTTCAAAAATGACACTAATCTTTATGGTTGTACATGATAATATTTCATGCCTTGCTCTAGTTTTGAATAATAAGGCTTTTGCTATAATCATTGCTTCAGTGAGGATCTTTTCTGTGTTTTGGGTTAGGATTTGGTTTTACACTCATTGTCCAATGACTTGGGTCATGTGGATGGTTGCAGAGATAGACTTCTGAAAAGGAAAAATACTTGCAAACGAAAACTTAGAAATACCATTTTATATTGATTAAAAAGAAGTCAATGTGATTGTAAGTACTAGGGACACCAGAATGACCTTGGTGTAGCCCCATAAAGCATTCCTTTCTGCATTTAAGGAAAATGGCAATAATTTATGAAAGCATTTAGAAATAATTTAGATTCATATTTTATTAAAACCAGCATACTTTTTTGATCTACTTTTCTGTCTTTAGTTTATGGCATATGTGAAATGGAAAAAAAAGTTACCCTTTCAAATGAAATGAAACATCGAACTGAATAAAAGGAAATGTATACATTTAATTTTTGCAATTTTATCTTAGTCAAAACTCATGGTCAGCTTGTGAAAGTGTATTAGCTTTTGTTACAATCTGTTGATTTTTATTGTATTGTTAGGCCAGGGGGATTTCAAAACATTAGGTTTAATATTAACCTTCTTTGGAAGTGATTAGAAGTACTAGATAAATAATGAAATCACATCTCGCTTATTTGACCTACTAAGTTCCTTAAAATATCAGTCATTATTATCAACTCAATTGCTACAGCTCTATTGACCCAGTGCTGATTAAGAAAGACAGGCAAAGGGGTTATAAATAAACAGAAAGTGAACGTATTTTGCAATACTTGTAGGAAGAATCAGAAATTTCTGAGTCCTTTAAATTTCAGAATGGCACTCTTAACACTTTAAGGGAGATATAAAGAAGAGTTCTTAAAAAGTCAGTTTCGTCTTGTTAAGGCGATCTAAAAATTCCATCTTACTTTGTGAATTTCCACAAATAGAATTATTTCTGAGGAGCAGTAAATTAAGCCAACATAGTTATTATGCATGAAAGCTACATGCTTTGAACTGCTGTCTTATTAAAGATCATTTCACTGTCTTATGTCAGATACACTCTGCTGTCAAACTATGATTGGAAAGCAAATACGTGTTTTAGATAAAAGGGTTGGAAGTGAATAATGTCAGTATGTGAAATGGTGTTTTATAATTAGCAAGTAATATGATGTTAATACCTGGATTTCCGGCAGGAGTTTCAGTTTGTTCACTCTGGGGACGACTTCTGAAGGAAGCTGATCTGGGCTGTCAGGAAGGCTCTGAAACGAAGATTACGAAGGCCTATAGTTTGGAAGACTTGGGATTTTTAAACACACTTCCATTTCCCCCAAACAGTTATTTGTTAGGTTCTTGGTTATTTATAGTAAAGTTTATGTTTGGGTAGAATGAGCTGGACACTTTTCCTGGGCAGTAGTTTTAGAAATAAAACAGATGTGTGAGCTATCTGAGTTTGAGCTAATAGAACTAGAAATAAAACAGCTGATCCTAGACTATGCTGTCTACTAAATCCTCGCAGCACACAGTAAAGAAGACAGAAAGTGGTAGGAAATAGCATGCAGGAAGATAATCTTGTTAAGATCAATTTTTTTTCCAAAGAGAAATATTATTGCTAGAAATAGAAAAAAAAAATCAGTAGAAAAAATGGGTGATTATTTCAAAGAATCTTCAAAGATAAGTCTAAAGGGTTAACTTCCAGAACACAATATACTTCCAGGCCAAAGGCTGGCTAATCTTGTACTCTCTGCACATACTCCAGATATTGATGCAAAAACATGTCTGAAGATGAAAAACGTATTAATATTTTTATGCTGAAATAAATATTAAAGAGCTTATCTATATGCATAAACTAACAGCACATCTGAAATTCCCCGTTTTACCCACAAGTTTGTGTTGCTGAAATGCTACTTGAGAGATTCTTTCCTTGGCACTTGGACTGTGTGGAGGCTAAAAGCTGTGGGGGATAAAATGCTGATCAGAGGATTTCTTTACTGCACTGTCTTCAGAAATGTACAGTAAGCTAATGGCCTGTGTGTCTTTTTATAAAAAGATGTTGGTAGCTGGGCTTGGTGGCTCAGCCTGTAATCCTGCGCCTTTGGGAGGCTGAGGTGAGTAGATTGCCTGAGCCCACGGGTTCGAGACCCACCTGGTCAACTTGGCGAGACCTCATCTCTACATAAAATCAAAAATTAGCCGGGTGAGGTAGCACGTGCCTGTAGTTCCAGCTACCTGGAAGGCTGAGATGGAAGGATCGCCAGACCAGCAGGTCGAGGTTGTGGTGGCAGGGAGTGGCCACTGCACTCCAGTCTGGGTGACAGAGTGAGACTCCAACTCAAAAAAAAAAAAAAGATGTTGGTAAATGTGAGTATTACAGGCAAATAATCATTCAATTTCAGGAATTACTTATATAAATCTATAATTTCAGCTAATTGGAGAAATAGATGAACAATTCATTAATCTTTCTCAACTAAACTGACTTTTTTCTAAACATTCAGAACAGTTGGTGGTTAATGATAGATTTATGACATTTTAGGCCAAGAAAAAAGGAACAGGAGTCAGAAGCAGGGGGCTTAAAGAACTCTGTGGCTTTGATCTATATTTTGGTTTGACATGGATGTTTTTAAATCATTTGAACCGACTTGAGTGCAAATATGAGATATACAGTTGGGAGAAAGAGGTACAGTCAAACAAATTCTAAGGTTTCCAGTTCTAAGTGTAGATTATTTCACATGTATTTGGAGGAATAACTGAAATTTAGACATACGTATACTGAATATATCCACTTCTGTGTAAATTCTATCATAAATAACTGACTCAGAGAATTACAAATTCCTAAAAATGGTGCCAAACTACATTGCTCCTTTGTGCTGCATAGTAGATAGAGTTCTAGCAGGGTAATGGAGGTCACTGGAAATAGCTATGATCAAACCAGGACTGTCCTTTTTAAGTCAGTCGGATTCATGAGATTCTACCCCTACACCGTGAGTTAGCATGTCCAGCCCTGAAATCAGAAGAGATGTCAGTTCTTGACCAAGAAAAACAAGAGGAGGTATAATGACTAGTTTAGATCTAATTGATTTGACCAGAATGTTAATTTTCCAACTTTTTAGTTTCTTTGCATGTTTTGTCAATCGTTCTGCTTACATTTTTTTAAAAGTCATGGCTGTGGTATGATTGGTAAGCCCTTCATGTAATTTTTACTATTTATATTCAGCCTTTGAGGCTCACAGATAGGCCAATAATAAGACAAGAGATTGAGTTCTTAAAAAAGTAATTACAGCTTCTTTCTTTATAATCTACTTTATTATGCTTATATTTAAGCCATCGCTGAATGGAGGCCTGCATTAACCACACGAATGTTGCTGTTTCATTAGGGATGAATGTGCTGTGCATTAGGGCTCTTGCATCATCTTTATGGAGGAACTTTTAGCCCTCAGATCAGGTTATAAAAGTTGTGCTTCCCACGGGAAAGTGTTTATGCTGCCCCACGTTTATATGCCCGTGGTGTCTCTGTTGCCTTTTCATGTTAGGAAACCTTTTCTATTATTTTGCATTATTCAGGACTCCAAGAAGGTAGCTACTGGATTCCAGCTATTACATTTATCGTGGCCTTTACTAAAATTCTAAGGTTAATAGAAAAATCATATGATTCACTTATGAGGGACTGTCCTATGTTTGAGCTAGGAGCGCTATGTTTCTGTTTTGGAAATATTTGTATCAGAGTTGCACAATATGTCATGTTAGAAGTAGGAGAAACAGATTTGAGAGAGAGGAAGTCATCTTTTGGATTTACATTTTCAACATATTTAACTGTGTGAGCTTTATAGATCCTTAACATATACCAAGTACAATAATTTGAACACGGAATTACAGTTTGGTCTGAAAAAACCCAAAAAAACCCCAGGAACATTAATCTCATTTTGGTTTATTTTGACTTGTCTTGAATTTTATTTCCAAACATTTATTTTTTGCCCTGGTGTTTTCTTTGATCTGGATTAGGAGGGAAGTTGTAGATCTTAGCAGGTTCTGTTTCTTTGTTTTTCTAAGTTGAGGACGATCACATTTTAGAAAAAACTAGTGAATGAGACTTTAATTGATTCAGACTGTGTACAGAGTACAGAACGTTTGGCCTCTGAACCCATACTTATTTTCAGGGCTGTGTCTCTTTAACAAGTAATAAAGTGTGCAAAATAAAACATATGCTCACCTCAAGGCCGTAAAGCAGAGCAGAGTTCTGGCAGTTGCCAGGTTATTTTCATCCGTGGAGATGGCCGAGCTGGATAATGTAGCCACCCGGGTAGAGTTGCTTGATTATTTTAACTAATCCTTTTACCTGCGTGACAGTCCCATCTTTATTTAGCTTTGTTATATGAGAGATGTTATGGTGAATGTCAATCCCTCTTTGATTTTTGGTTTATTTGTTATCATTTAAAGAACACGTATCATTTTGTTAAATACCCGTATTTCTCCCCAGGCAGAATGTTTAGAAAAAGAAATCACAGTTATCAGAGCATCCAATCACATTTAGTTTTATTCAACTCTTAATAAAAGTTTTATCTCTTAGATGGCCTGCTCTCCTTAACCATATCAAGTCAGGAGGTTACTCAGTGATTTTTGTATTTTGGGTCATTATAATTGTAGCATAAGTGCAGCTGTTGG